GGAACGATATGTTTATGGAAGATCATGCAGTGATTAACTTCTATGACATGATCTATTGTCAGGATATGTTTTGATACTCTGGAAGGTCATGAATCAACCRTCTGGTCTATCAGCTTCAATGCGAAAGGAGATAGATTAGGTCAGTRTTTAAAAAATAAATTCAACTAAACTCTGCAATGATCGTATTTTATTTGAGTAAGAAAAGTAACAATACAATACGAATATCTTAGTCATACATGTTTTTTGTGGACATAGTTTCTGCCAGCGATGACAAAACTTTAAGAATATGGCAATCATATCCGCCAGGGAACCAAGAAGGTATGTTTTAGTTYAAACTAATGATATTAACTAAAGGAAGAATAAAATTTTCTCAAGCAGGATATAAGGAAGGGAAGTAAGCAGGACGGATTCAGAGAATGTCGTTGATTGTCATGTTAAACTCCTTTTCTTTTCTTGAAATGATTTTTCCCGATTCGTATTTTTTGTAGAATAGGACGTTTGCATGATGGCACTTTTTGAATACTTTTACCAAAATGCTACGCGAATTTTCTTTCTCCTTCAAATTTAWACTGCCTCGTGAGAATAGAAAGACGATTGGTGCTATATTAACTGAACGAAAGAAAGTGTGCAAGGGAGTCTGGTAGTGGTAGTAAAAACGCTATAATTACGCCATAATAATGTACTATAGTCACCAGATATTCTTTTGGAGTTCTTTTGGAGTGCATAAGTATAATATTTATAATAAATAAATAGTAATTAAATAAAATTTATGTTTCTTGTTTTTTTTTCAGGTGTCGTTACTGCTGGCAAGGACCCAAAGATGAAATGTGTTTGTGTCCTATCAGGATATCACAACCGAACAGTTTATGATGTAGACTGGTTGGTGAATTCTTTGTTAATTATAATTTATAATTGAAAATAATCTGTTTAAGGACACTTTTAGCCTTGGGTGTAATGTTTTCCCATTTCAGACCACTTGTCATTCCCTTGAGAATAGGATTCTTTGTTTGAGCTGTATCCATATTCATGTGTCTTCTCATGTGCAACCGAGCGCAAACCTTAAACAAAGAAAATATACTCTAGGGAATGACATGTGGTCTGAAATGGGAAAACATTACGTCAGAGCCGAAGAGGTCTATAGAGWTTTTTGTTGTTTTATTCCTGGTTTTTTCAGGGCCATTCCCTCGGCAAGAATTAAGTTCTAAATTCCAATTAAAATTTAGTGGAAAAAGAACTACGCTGGAAATACCATCGCTGAATCCCATTTTTTACTGGAGGAAAAATCGAAAAAAAACTTGGAAAAATTCACAATCCCCCCAATTCTATCTAAAAAAAATTATGATCCCCCCC